CCGGCATGCCCTGCACGGGATTGAGCCCACAACCCAGGCATGTTCCCTGACCGGGAATCGAACCTTGACCTCCTGGTTCATCCGTTGATGCTCAACCACTGAGCCACATGGACCAGGCTGTTTTATTTTTTAAAGCATGATATTCTAAGGATTTTTAGATCTTTTGAAGACCAGTGAATTCAATAATGACATTTTATATAAATGCACATATATTGACAATATAGAAAAAAATAGCAATTTCCTTTTAGAAATGTATTATTCTTACCCAGTTCTGTTATTAAGATAATTGTTAAGTGAAGAGCAACACATAAACCCTATTTTGTGAAATGCTGTTTAGTAAGCCTCCTTTGTTTCTGTTATCAGCTAGACAGTCACAAAATAGATTTAATGTTTTAAAAGTAACCTAAAACTTTTTTTTTAAGTGTGAGAACAGGAAAGATTAGGGAAATATTTTATGGGTTCATACAACTATGATAACAAAGGAAAACAGTGTTGTTACATTATTGTCCCTTTAAAAGTTATAAGGTCTGCAGATATTTTTAAATATGTTTCAGGACACCAGCCACTTCCAGATTTGGTAACAGCTGGGGTTTTTTCTTTAGCAACCACCTTTCCCCTCCTCTGCACTCTCACACGATATTAAAAATACCTCTTCCTCTGTCTGGTGCACTTTTCTCCCATTGCTGAAGTGTCCTTTTCAAAGTTTCTGATAAGCTAAGGCACTGTTCCCCATGGAAGGGTTCATAACAGAGCCTGTGGGACAGGTGTGTGGCTTTTGAAACTAGAAGTTACATGAAGGGAGGAAGTTGGCTAAGGGAATATTAGCCAACTAATGGAGTGGCTAAGGGAATATTATTACCGATTTATCTTGGAAAAACAAGGAACAAATAGAATCAAAATCTGATAATTTGAAAAAAGTCTTAAGTTAGCAAAGACACACTTGGCAGTTATTTACAGTACTGTTTTTAGGGTCATAAATAAGAACAAAAAAACAAAACCATACTGATGCTGTATCACTTCAGTAATAAAATGATGGCAAGTCAGTAAACCATCCTAGATGAGTATGGATATATAGGAATTTTATGAGGAGCCAACTGTATTGAGTCATAGTTATTACTGAAATTTGGGTTGAAAAGTAACTTTAGGGCTATAAAACTATTCTGTTTTTAATTTTAGTCATATTAATAATAAAGTCACTAAGTGCTCAAAGACTCATAGCAAATTATAACAGCCCTCTTCCCCACCAATCCTGTTTCCCAAAGAAAAATGTTGCACTCTGGGGTGTTTGTGGTGGGGCTGCGGAGTCGTGGATCCCGCCGGAAGCGCCAGGACAATGGGGACCCAGGACGACGAGTACGACTACCTATTCAAAGTGGTGCTCATCGGGGACTCGGGTGTGGGGAAGAGCAACCTGCTGTCCGGCTTTACCCTCAACGAATTCAACCTGGAGAGCAAGAGCACCATTGGTGTGGAGCAGTGATTCCCAAAGTGGGCGCTACTGCCCCCTGGTGGGCGCTGCAGCGATCCAGGGGGGCGGTGATGGCCACAGGTGCATTTGTTTTAACTTTTTTTGTATTACCTTTCTATTCTGAGTTCAATAAGTAGTTTCATAATTTCAAACTTCAATGTTTCTAATTTACACTTTTCTTTACTATATTTTACGAAAAAGGTAGAAACATTAATACATATATCTTTCTGTTTAATTGCTATTAAAATTAAAAAAAAATTAATTTCCAGGGGGCGCTGAGTAATATTTTTTCTGGAAAGGGGGCGGTAGGCCACATAAGTTTGGGAACCACTGGTGTGGAGTTTGCCACCCGCAGCACCCAGGTGGACGGCAAGACCATCAAGGCGCAGATCTGGGACACCGCTGGCCAGGAACGCTACCGCGCCATCACCTCCGCGTACTACCCAGGTGCAGTGGGTGCACTGCTGGTGTATGACATCGCCAAGCACCTGACATATGAGAATGTGGAACGCTGGCTGAAGGAGCTGAGGGACCATGCTGACAGTAACATCGTTATCATGCTGGTGGGCAACAAGAGTGACCTGCGCCACCTGCGGGCTGTGCCCACTGATGAGGCCCGAGCCTTCGCAGAGAAGAACAACTTGTCCTTCATTGAGACCTCAGCCTTGGACTCCACCAACATAGAGGAAGCTTTCAAGAACATTCTCACAGAGATCTACCGCATCCTGTCACAGAAGCAAATTGCAGACCGCGCAGCCCATGATGAGTCCCCTGGTAACAACGTGGTGGACATCAGCGTGCCACCCACTACTGATGGACAGAAACCGAACAAGCTGCAATGCTGCCAGAATCTGTGACTGCCCCGTGCCTCGTCCAAATATGCGTGCGTGCACATCCTCATCCTTTGCCTGCCCCTCATCATGATGTCTTCTCTGACCTGACCCTCTCTGTCACTCTGTGACTGGCTTCTACCCCTCCACTGAGCTCTGCAGAAAAAAAAAAATGTTGCACTCTTGTAACTGTCTTTTTATGGTATTTATTTTCCTATTTTTAACTCCATTGCTTATAGTACTATTTCTTGATTTATTATTTTTAAACATTTTTCTAATGATTTTTTTGTTATCGGAGAGAGGAGGGATTTATTCAGCTCTCTAAACTGAACTGCTCATGTCCCATTTCTCCTCAATTCTTCTAACATATTTACATCAAATTTTACTTTAACAAAATATATTTCCCTAGGAACTTCATGAGAATGTTGTTTTTTTGGTAAAGCAGTAGTCACTGCTAACTTACTAGTACATAAGTATAATTCATGTATGATCCAGGGAATATATTATGATTATTTTCTTATATAACTTTTGGGTTTTCCTAGAATTAATAATAATTGCCCAGTTTTTAAAAATTGTTTAGTACAGTGGGGCCTTGACTTATGAGTTTAATTAGTTCCTAGACCGAGTTCGTTAAGGAGCTCGTTAAATTACTCTGTCAACTCAATGCAAAAAATCGGCTGGTATCTCAAAAAACTCGTTAGTCGGGACACTCGTAAGTCAAGGCCCCACTGTATATGTACTTAAAATTTTAAGTTTGTTTTTTTTTTTTGTCATTCTCCCATTGGTTTTTATCTGTCATTCACTCCTTTCTCTCCAGGTCAGGTATATCAGTTAGTCTATCAGCCTTGTATTTTTCCTGAAGACGCCCCCATCAGTACCCTGGCCTTCTGCTCCAATTCAACACCAGTGCACAATCGGACCAGGGAGGGACGCGGGAGGTTGGCCAGCCAGGGAGGGACCGTGGGAGGGCTTCAGGGCATGTCCGGCCCATCTCGCTCAGTTCTGATCGGCCGGACCCCAGCAGCAAACTAACCTACTAGTTGGAGCATTTGTCCCCTGGTGGTCAGTGCACATCATAGCGAGCGGTTGAGCGGCCTTAGCATATCATTAGCATATTATGCTTTGGTTGAATGGACGAGTGGACACTTAGCATATTAGGCTTTTATTATGTAGGATGTGGCTGGTTTCTAAACAGTGTTCCATCAGACTTCTGAGATACTACTCCATTTTATTTTAATTCTTATGGTTTATGCTGAGAAGTATGATGCTACTCTGTTTTTTCTTTAAATATGACATGTCTGCTCTGGTTGGTATGGCTTATTTGGGCATTGTGTCTGACCAAAAGATTGCTGGGTTCAATTCCTGGTCAGGGCACATGCCCAGGTTGCAGGCTCGATCCCCAGTGTGGGGTGTGTAGGAAGCAGCCAGTCACTGATTCTCTGTCACCATTAATGTTTCTATTTCTCTCCCTCTTTCCCTTCCTCTTTGAAATCAATAAAAATATATTAAATAAGTAAATAAATAAATGTGATGTGCCTCTTTCTCTCTGGAAACATTTAGGATCTTTATTCGCAATATTCAGAAATGTCATGTGGTTGGCCCTTTCAATCTAGGAACTTGTGTTTTTAAGGTCTGAGAAGTTAATCTTGTATTATGTATTAAGTATTATTGAGTATTATTATTGCTTCATCATTTAGTTTTCTTTTTCTTTTTTTTTAAATATATTTTATTGATTTTTTTTTTACAGAGAGGAAGGAAGAGAGATAGAGAGTTAGAAACATCGATGAGAGAGAAACATCGACCAGCTGCCTCCTGCACATCTCCTACTGGGGATGTGCCCGCAACCCAGGTACATGCCCCTGACCGGAATCGAACTTGGGACCCTTCAGTCCGCAGGCCGACGCTCTATCCACTGAGCCAAACCGGTTTCGGCGTAGTTTTCTTTTTCTTAAATGTCAATCAAATATTGGATCTTAAACTCTTTTTGAAATGTTATTTTGATATACTGCCTTCCTTCCTTCCTTCCTTCCTTCCTTCCTTCCTTCCTTCCTTCCTTCCTTCCTTCCTTCCTTCCTTCCTTCCTTGTCTTTTTTTAACATGGCATCCTGGTCTTTCCTTTATCTCTTTGAGGATATTAATTAAGTTTTCTTTGTTTTATTATTTCAACAAATATTTATTTAATAGCTACTATGTATAGGCAGTTGTCTAAGCACTTGAAATACATATGTGGCCAAAATAAGCAACAACAAAATAATAAGCCACCCTGACTTATGGAATATTGCTGGTTACTTACCCTAATATCCACTTATACACCCTTTCCTTGGAAAGAGCCCCAAGTTTTAGCTGGATACAAGCTATTCAAAAAGGGCTACATTCCTCAACTGGTATTTGGATGGTGACCTTGGATCCCCTACCCCCATTTAATTCAGCAAACTTTTAAAACTCCAGTTTCAGCCTGAGGCCTAGACTTTACCCCTTAGTTGAGTCAGTGCCCTCAAACTCAGAGCTTCCTGGATTATCTTTCATATGTCTAACAAAGCCCCCGATCTCATGCCCTGTATACTTTTCTATCCTCACCACTCACCATCCCCCCCATTTCACGTCCAGGGCAGCCACACTGAACTTTTCATAGTTCTGCCTATGTGGCTTCAAAGCATTTGTTCCACTTCACCCTGGGTAATTTCTGCTTATTCTTCAGGCTTTAATGCTTAGTTTAATAATGCCTATTAATACCGGTCAGCCTGTATATATGTCATATGTATACACATATACATGTAAGTACACTCCACTCTAGGTGTGGGCTCTGTTCCCATTACACCCTTTGTCAGCCTATAATATCATAGCACTTGTCACACCATGGAGCTTGCATGGCTGCAAATCTACCCTCACCAGACCATAAAATTCACAAGTGCAAAAAGTGTCTATCCTGCCAATATGCCCAGTACCAGCTGGCACATAGTAGGCTCTGAAATATCTATTTAATGAATAACAACTTCTTTGAGCTCTGAACATTTTTGGTGTGGCTTTTGGGTAAAAAATTATTCTTCACCTCTTTTAATAAGTTGTGGGAAGCCATCCACTGCCGATACTATCATGAGAGTATACCAAGGAACACAGAAGGCTGATGCTAAGCACCTCATCTATTGAGATAGTGGTGGCTCAAGGCAATTCCCTAACCTGGTAATCCTTTTACTGTTTACCAAACTTTACCTTTCATATGCCTATATGCATTGCTAAAGGGCAAATGTGTATTCAAGTAAATAAAAAATGGACTGGCCAGAGGTCAGTGTGCTCTTCACAAAAGAGATACCACCTGGCCCCACCCCTTAATAATTCATATTTCTGGTCTAGTGTTATCATTTGTGCGTCGGCCCCTCCTTCAGATCCTGAACCCAGCCGTGCAGATTGCGGCAATCAGTAAGTGATTTTTTTTTTTTTTTTTAGTAAGTGATGTTTTAAGAGAATTAAAAGATATATAAGTGAACTCAAAGGAAACTTGATTTTATTTTTAAAACATTTTTAGTTTCTCTTCTAACCTCTGCCATCACTAAAAAAGGGTTTCTGTATCTGACATTCAAAGTGTGGCAGTGATTCACCTGAGGCATTAATGTAATTGAAAACAGATGAATGGAGTCATGCAGTGTTGGGAAAGGAGGAACTTGACTGCACATTCTCCTGAATTCATTGTTGCTGCACCAGAGAGGCATTGATGGATCAGGCTGTCAGCAAAGCTTGTGTTTTCTCTTCAGGTTGGCACTTGGCCTTTATATCATGATGAAAAGCAAAAAGTAAGGATCTTGTTAGCTGCATTGAAAGCACTTCTCTCACCTAGAGTTAACTTCACATGGCAATTATCCAACTAAAACTGGTTGTTTTTGTTCTTTTCTTTTTGGAGTTAATGCAATTATATATCTGAAATTTTGGAGCGTGGCCTTGTTCCCTTAGCTACTTTAGCCAGCTCTAAAATATATGCCCTAGTTAGCACTTGAGTGGTTTCTGGGATAGCCCAAAGGTTCCTTGCCCAGAATGGGTGGGCCCAAGGGTAGATAGAGAAGGGCGAAGAGTGATCAGGAAAGATGGAACAAGAATGAAAGAGAACTTATGTATTAGAAAGTAAACTGAGTAATCTTATTAATCAGTCAGTTTTCCTGGTCTGCCCTCCTATTGCATTTTTTACAAGAAAGGCGGTCACAGAGAACACTACTGAATCTCAGTGGCAGGTGGAGTGAGGAAGGTTCTGGGCAGAGTTCTTTATCGCCTATAAATCAGTGGAAGAAATCAGCCATTTTCCAGCAGAACTTTCATTTCTTGAGTGAGCAGTGACATTAGAATCAAGTGGGAAAAGTAGTGTGTTCTACATGATGACTATATAAGGGTTAGGTTAGGCCTCATATTACAAAGACAGCAAACTATAACAGTAGCTTTAACTGTTTCCTGGGGTTGCCATTGCAAATCCCCACAAACCAGGAGGCTTAAAACAACAAAAATGAATTCTGTCTCAGTTCTGGAAGCTGCAAATCTGAAATCAAAGTGTCAAGGTGCTTTCTGAATGCCCTAGGTCAGTGGTCGGCAAACTGCGGCTCGCGAGCCACATGCGGCTCTTTGGCCCCTTGAGTGTGGCTCTTCCACAAAATACCACGTGCGGGCGCACATGTACAGTGCGATTGAAACTTCGTGGCCCATGCGCAGAAGTCGGTATTTTGTGGAAGAGCCATCTCAAGGGGCCAAAGAGCTGCATGTGGCTCGCGAGCCAAAGTTTGCCAACCCACTGCCCTAGGTCATGATACTTCCTTGCCTCTTCCTAAACTTCCAGTGGTTGCTGGCCATCACTGGCAGTTTCTGGCTTAGAGATGTATCACTTGGTGTTCTGTCTTCATGTCTCTTTTTTCATAAGGCCACCAGTCATATTGGATTTAGGGCCCACCCTACACCAAGTATGATCTCATCCTGACTAATGACATCTGCATACATACTATTGCCCACATTCTGAGGTTCTGAAGAGCTCAAAAATTTGGGGGGTACAATATTAAACCCGGTACAGTAGCTTAAATAAAAGAGTGTTTTTGTCCTTCACATAAAAGTTCCAAGCTAAGCAGGCAGAGGTGGCCAGGTGAAGGTATCAGGAACACGTGCTGTCTAATTTCTCTGCCATCCTTAGCATGTGCCTTCCACTTCCTGATCTGTGAAGGCTGTGTAAGTTCCATCCATCATATATGCCTTCCCCCTACAAAAAGGAGAAAGAGGGGTGGAAGAAGAGTTTATGGGGCACATCCCAGTTGTTCTTTAATACTACAGTACA